AAGCCATCTGGAAAATGCAGACAGAATTTTTTTGTATTTGCCTTCTTCACAAAGAAATTATGAAAATTCACAGAATAATCTTTATAAAGCAGTTAAAATGCACCTAAAGTATACATAATTTGTTCAGTATTAAATTATTTTAAAAGTAACATTTAAATAAAATGTACAAGTCAATATGTTTTAATGCTCCTAATTTTAATATAACATCAAAATTAACAGCATGAAGCTTGTGAAGCAGCCATAAGAAAGAGAATGACAGGTGTGTGTATATGTCTGGGCCACATACCCCAAAGAAATAAGTGGGGCTGGAAATTATTTTAAATAGCATTTTCAGTTAACTCACCCTAAAATAACAACATATGGTTCTAGTTCTATAGCTATGCCACAATATGTAAATATAGCTTGGTAATCTCTGTGGTGAACTAAGAATGAAAAGTCATAAATAACAGACATTCTAATAATTTTACACTAAATTTGTTCTTTACTTATAAAATCATCTTTAATAGGCTTCTCCTATCTAACATAGAAATGCATGAATGGAATTTCAGAGGTTCTAGTTATCAACTCTTGAACAAGATAGCCATAGCCTACTACTTAACTCTTGAAACCTTTTAAAAATAAAATAGGATTATCAGAAAATGCCTTTAATTTTAAGAACACAGCAAAGATAAAATTAACACTGTGAACAAAGGAAATTGGATATATTATTTAATGTTTATTTTTCCTGGAAAAATTTCTTAGAGATATCATTTCCTTCTGTAATTCAAAAAAATGGAAGATTAATATGGCCACCTAGAGGAGAAAACATGATAACAAATATGTCATCACATTTCTTACTTTTTCTAGAGTATCTGTATTTCAGCTTTATATAGATAAACTGTTCTAAAGGGCTCAACTGAAGAGGTTAATCATGTATGAAAGAGACCTTGTTTGGATACTAGAGTAGCAGGGATGACCTAACAGAAGCTAAAACCACATTCATTTTGCAGTGGACCTGACTAGAGTTTTTAAAACTTACCATGTGACCTTAGGTTAAAAATTACCTACTTGATCTAAAATCTCTTCTCACTTGTGTAAAATGGGGATAATCTTATCTACTACAATGATTTGCAGTGAAGATTAAGTAGTATGGTGTGTACAGAAACTAACAGTCAGGTATGCAATAGGAGCTCAATATGGTAGTTCTTACTACCCTGTCAGAAAGTTCTATATTGTTCTCTCCTAGGCCTCTCCAGGTCCTCCCTGACCCTTTCTAATTTTACAGATATTTCCAGCACTGGGTGTTCCAAAGCTTCTCTACTAGAATTATTCAGTGTTGAGAAATGAACTAATGGCTCCTTATACCAGCACTAATGAGGTAATAGTACGTCATGTAAAAAATGGACATTTTAGAGTATTTTTCTTTCTACCTTGTAGTTCCCTTTAGAGTTACCTCAACCTACACCTCAGTTAACTCTGATCCTTATAAACTTGCAGAATATGCACAATAAAAGGTCAGAGCAGTTAAGAGAAACATAACCTACCGTATCTATCCCTTTACATGTACCTCAAGAAAGTGAACCAAATCCTCCCAAGAGAACTAACTCAGCAGTCCTCTTAGGCAACCAGCCAGGAAATGAGCAGTATTTCTGCTGAGTTAGCTATACAGAGGAACGACCACCAAATCCCTTCCCTTCCCAAACAGATGCGAGGAGGGTTACCACTGTTGGGCTGGAAGGAGAAGATGAACACTATGATTAGAATCTCATATGTAGAGGAAGCAGAGATGCAACATGGGGGGTTAAGAGGGTAGGAGAAGAATGAATGAAACAAGATGGGATTGGGAGGGAGACAAACCACAAGTGACTCTTAATCTCACAAAATAAACTGAGGGTTGCTGGGGGGAGGGGGTTTGGGAGAGGGGAGTGGGGTTATGGACATTGGGGAGGGTATGTGCTATGGTGAGTGCTGTGAAGTGTGTAAACCTGGCGATTCACAGACCTGTACCCCTGGGGATAAAAATACATTGTATGTTTATAAAAAAATAAAAAATTAAAAAAAGAAAAGAATCTCATATGTACTTCTGCATCTTTGTGAGGGGGCATGTTAAGAATTTACTATCACTCGAAATTACTTTTACTAAGACCGTGAACTCTGAATCAGTCTCCCCTCCAAATTCTCCTTTCTTACCCCATTTCACTGAATCTATTTTGAGCTCAAAGCAGCTCTGACTTTTCAATAAGCAATAACATATGATACAAAACTATTCTCCTATTCTACTGTTTTCTTACATTATTGCTTGGTTATCTCTCCATCCTAAAGCTCAATGACAGCATTTTAACAACAAGGATATCCATCTCCATCTGGATGTTCTAGACATCTGATTCAGCGTGATGGAGACTGAATTATCTCCTCCCACACAAACTTACTTCCCTAATACTCTGAACTAATTAAAAATCCTGATTCTTTACTCACTGCACACATTCAATCATTCAAGATATATTGAGACCATCTTAAAATCTATGAAATCTGTGTCTCCAAACTCACTTCCAATGAAGATCTCATCATTGTTTATCTAACTGGTCCTTTCTTCCTCTAGTACCTCAATTCATTTTCCGTTATAATAGTTAAATAATCTTTCTTAAATACATTTCTAAAAGTGCCATATCGTCCAGTTTAAAAACCTTACAGGACTCTGTATTTCCTATAAGACAATAAAACTCCTGAACATGGTATTCAAACCCATCACCTACCCATTCTCCAAACACAGATCCTAAGCTAAAGACACTAAAATACACTCTCATTTGCTTTCATGCAATCACTATTCCATGGCTGTTGAAACAGTTCTTACTCAAGTCCAGTTTACCTACTCTGTGAAGACTACATTAGACTTCCCCATATCCCCACCTCCCAAACAACAGAGCCACCTCCATCTCTGAATGTCTACAGCACTTTGTTCATGAAACTAATAGACCTCTTACCATATTGTATCACACATATTGTCTACGGTCTTCCTCCTCTAGCCTGTGGATTCTTTGAAACAAGCTTGTTTTATCCATCTTTACATCCACAGTATCTAGTATGGCACAGGAAAGCTTTCGACAAATGTTTATGAAATAAATCTAATTTCAGAATGCCTAAAGTCAATCTAGCCTGGGTGCTTTATCAATTAATAGAGAGTAGAAACAGTAGGAAAGTAGAGATGGGTCCCAAACATATAGGTAAAATGAAAAGAGAAGGTGACTCCAGGACATTGGTCCCAGTTCCCGAACTTAGAGCAAGAAAAAAACAAAAAACAAAAAACTAGTGAGGTTATGCTTCTCTCCTCACTGCTCTTCTCCCAGACTACAGAGCCGTGCTAGAATAACAGAACCATGGGGAAGCAATCAAGACAGCACAGAAGTGCAGGGAGTGAGGGGGAAGAAGCAGTGAGGAGGAAAAAATAAAAACCCTAAACCAAAGCTGCAAAAAGGAAAGTGTCCAGGGTCACAGATGACAAGTGCAGGCCTTGTTCACGGCCGCTCACGCTCATCACCACCACTGTATCCACCACCCTTAGCCACAGTGACCATTTACTGGTCACTGACACACAGGGGCCAGAACTTTGCTAAAAACTACCACATATACCATGTAATGTTCATGACAACCCTATCAGGAAGGTATGATCCACATTTTAGAGACAATGAAACAAATCGGAAAACCATTAACTATCCTGCCCAAGGCTTGTAGCTAATACGTTAAGTCAATATGTTAAGTCCCAGAGCCAGAATGTAAACAAGGATCAGGTTCAAAACCCATTCTCTTGCAGCTCTACTATTAACATGCCGGGTGGAAGGGGTGGACATGGGCTGGAGACTGGCTTTACTGCTTCACATCACTAGGTTATCTTTGTAAACACGTGTTTTATTTTCTCTAGTATTAGAAAGGTTATTTTTGAGTGTAGAGTCTAACATTTTTTATTTCTTCCCCACCATCTCATAAGTTTCCTATATAGTAATTACTCAGTATTTAATTTCTTATTATAAATTGTGTCCTAGTAGAAATAAAAAGGAGGTACATACCTCAGTCATTAGCTAGCCTTAAGCCAAATTAAAAAAAAAAAAGATGACTTAGCTCCTTTGACAACTCTTTGAGCTGGGGTAAGACTTTAAGTAATCAATAGTTATAAGACCCTTAAACACAAACCACGGCTATAAAATGAGGGACAGTTTGTGTTCGATGTAATAAAAAATTGCTGTCTAAGATATATTGCTTCCTTCTTCATACCTGAGTATAAAGATAATAATTACTAGGAGTACTCATACATTCTATCAAGCATGTGAGCAACCTACCTAAAACATGGAAATAAATATGCCTTAATTAATAGCAATTAATTTCCCTTAAAGAAAGATGTAAAAACATGTTAGAGTGGACACGTATCTTGTATATAGGCTGAGTTTTAAGTCAATGTCAGTACATGAAGCAAAGATCAATTAGAGACAAAGTTATCCTTAAAAATTCCTAGAGTCACCCTTAAAGCAAAGTGTAATACAGTGTGAGCTCTCAATCCATCCTGGACACTTTCTTCCTCCACAGAACAGATCACCATTCCTCCTGCTGTGTGCCACATGAAGTATGTGGCTTCTGTTTGGGGCCACACTGAATGAAAAAGCACATACTGACACACCAGAGTCAAGTTTAACACTAGAAGAGACCTAGACTCTGCCAGTTCCTATGCCAGGTGTTTGGAGACTGATTCCAAAGTAAGAGAACATCGGACTTCCATCTTCTACCTCACTCTTACATTGTGTAAAGAGAAACAGAATTACTATGGTCTGTACATTTTTTGGTGTTTTACTTTTAGGGGTTTGGGGTTTTGGCTTCAGTCCAAAGATCTGAATTTTGCTAAATTATATTAATAGAAATGTGACTCTGTTTATCTCTTGTTTATCACACAGCCACAGATGGCTAGAATTTTGGGTACAAATAATCTAATACTATAGTGTGTGATCTAAAAAAATAAACTAAGTCATCTGTGTTACCTTCGTCGATTGATGCTTCACTACTGTAGCCATCATATTCTGCAGACAGAGGACTGTACTTGTGTCTTGTTTCCCAAGCATAGTTCTTTTGTCTCGAATCTGCCAATGGTAGTCTGGAATTGTGTGTTCTGGACAAGGCCTCGTGATATTTACCCAGTGCCTCATCTTCACTCTCAGAGGACGAACCGTGCTCATCTTTGTCCATGTAGGAATTATCTATTTGGAATGACAGGAGAACAAATCGAAATTTTAATACAATAAAGTATGACAAATTTGATACACACACACACACACACACACACACACAGAGATATATGTCATATATATCCATATACACATGAATATACAGATACATACCCAATGCGAATTTTCAACTTTAAATAAACATAATTTTTTCATTTAAGAAGCCCAAAAGTTTTGGATTTTCATATTTTTAATTGAAAAAGATCAATTTATATATTCTAATTATAAAAAAATGTTCATCACAGGGATTTTCCAACCAAGTTACAGATAAAGGAGATAACAGAACTTGTTATCTCACACAATTATTTTTTAAAGGATCAGAAGCACACAAAGAGACTTAGAAGTATCGCCAGTACATATGGACCTGATTCAAACTAGAATGTGACTAGAGACATTTTAGTTATCATCTGGGTCCAAATTTTCAAAAATGATAATACTTAGTTCTAGGAGAACAGAGAAATGGGTAGACATATACTACTGGTAGAACTATCACTGGTACACTTCTAGAGAGCAATCTGGCAATACACATCAAACTTTAAATCTGCACAGTCTGTGATTCATTTCTAGGAATTTACCAATTCCTTCCAAGAATTCGGCCTAAGAAAATAATTAAAAACAGATGAGCAAGGATATGTATTTCAGACAATTCACTGCACTGTGCTAGATAGCAGAAAACAAAAATAAAATACAATCTAAACGTCCATCGCTGGGCCCCAGTTAAGAACACTGTGATGTATCCAGGCAACGACAGAGTATGCAATCACTACAAATGAGGAGGTGAACTCACAGGTGCTCACAGGGAACAGCAGCTACAACATTACGTTACGGGAAAAGAGAAGGTTATGAGACAGAAGGCATACTATGTTCTCATTTAAACACACACACACACACACCCCTACATGCAATATACACACACACTTGTGGTGGATGCTCGTAGGCACATACAAAAATATGGGGAAGGATACACACTTATTTTCTGTGAAAGGGAGAATTACTAAGAAAATTTTACATAAGTATAACTAAATTTCAAATAAATTTTTCAGGACATATAAAACTTGTATAATTCTTAAAATAATAGTTAACTAGTATAATAGTAACTAGTTGTTACCATTTTTTTTAAAGTAAAAATTTTGAAACTGCACTATGTTGAAGTTCATTTAGCCTAATATGAGCCTTCTCAGAATAATAAAAAAACTCTGGAAAGATAAAGAGACCACAGCAGGTAGAATTTATTAGTTCTGTCGAGATATTTTTTTCTTTATAAACACTTGAAATCATCTGCAAGAAAGGAATCAAGGTCTGAAATTCAGGTGGGGAGACGCAGACTAAGTAATTTAAAAATATGGGAGAGAAATGGTATGTTTAGAGTCAGAATGAAGGGAACTTGGACGTCACTAGTGTAGGTCCTCCTTTTTAATTTAGTAAGAAAAAGCCATGAGGAGGTAAAACTACGACCAGTGTCCTATTCTGCACAACCCAGTATGTAGCCACCAGCCACACGCAGCTATCTGATTTAAAACAAAATAATTTAAAACCCAGTTTCCCCAGTGCTGCTGGCTCCATCTCAAGTGCTTAGTATGTGCGTGTGGCTAGTGGTTACCACAAGGAATACCTGAAACTTTCCCATCATGGCAGAGAGTGCCATTAGTTGGCACTGGGGTGACGGCAGATCTGGACTAGAACCTGGGCCCTCTGACCCCCTGGTGAGAGCTTAGCACTTTGTGGGCTACCACGGTGGTGGTCTCTGGCAGCAGGAGAGCTCTGAGGGGGCTCACTAGAAATTCTGCCATCCCACTTCACCTATTACAAAATATTACCTACAGCAGTCATGCATTCAGAAATGTGGAAGGGAACTCTTCCTTCTCTTTCTATACCATAGAGGCTCTGTGAACGAACCCAGAACACAGGTACTAGTAATACCTATATTACTACTAACTAATTAGCATTACAGCTCAGCTCTATGAAGAAGTAATCCACAGGTCAAATGATTTTCAAATGATTTCTAGAACATAATATGTTTACATTTAGTCTGGACTATAATCTATAAGCCTGAGATACTTGGGTTTTCTAGGGACGAGCATGCTTCTGAATGAAAACAAATCAAAACAAAATTAACTGTATACTGCTATGTATGTAGCACTTATGACTACTGTCTATTCTGTTATTTTCTGAATAACATATGTATTCTACTTTATTTTTGCTCCTTCAATTAATAAGGCTAACTAAACTAAACCAAGGCCACCCAAAACTACTGAACTTGATAACTGAAAAGACTCCAAAAGGGACATATTTCCAAAAACTGGCTTTCCTTTTTAATTAGGCTATCCATCCTGGATCAGCCTCTATGATATCATCTAAAAATCATTCATATAATTGATAAGTAGCAGATCCTGATTATATATGTATTCACACAGCAGAACTCAAAGTCTCCCTCATTTCTATTGTCACTCAGATTTTTATTTTTATGAGAATCTAAATGTATAGAAAAATGTCAGATATACACATTTTAAATAAAAGCCAGTGTACTTTTGGCCTTGTGACCAGATCAGCAATAGACGGAAATGACTAAAGGATTTCTGGAAGTAATCACCAGCAGTAAAAGCCATTCTGCAGCCAAACCAACTAACTGTCGGCTCAATGTTTTGAAAATTGTCACAAATCCTGCCGTTAAAAACTGTAAATGATTAGTTGGAATCTTAATTCTACATAAAGAACTCGTGAAAAATAATAGACTGTTCACGTATACTCATTGTAGATACAGAACTGATGTAAAATTCTTAATATGTGGCTAAATGAATAGACACTTATCCTGAAGCATGCTGTTCAATAAAATAAACTCTAGGGGCGCCTGGGTGGCTCAGTCAGTTGAGCATCTGCCTGACTTGTGATTTCCGTTCAGATCATGGTCTGAGTCAGGAGATGGAGCCCCTCATTGGGCTCTGAGCTCAGCACGGAGTCTGCTTGTCCCTCTCCCTCTGCTCCTCCCCCTGCTCACGCTCTCTCTCTCTCTCAAGTGAATAAATAAAATCTTTAAAAATAAATGAATAAAATAAATTTCTATTGCTCTAAAGGAAAAATAAAAAACACTTGATACAGATTCTTGTTGGGATAGATTCCAAGGGCAACATAGTATAAAGGTCTCAGGGGTTAGTCACAAAAATAGAAAATTTTAAAATTCAACTACAGCACACTAAATACACTCCAACTAGAGAATGTGCACTACTTAAAATTATGGGGTTTCTGGTTGTTGAATAAACAATCATGAAGAAAAATTAGGGCCACTGAAAAATTGGCCAAATAATGCAGGGACCAGGGCCAATACTTTACTTAGCAGTGTATAAAGAACATGACTGCTTTCAAAATGATGGTCAGAAAAAAAATAAATGACCTTAAAAGTGTCTTCCGGTAAGAGGATTCAAGAAAATCTTAAATTAGATAGACTTGTATAGGAAAGTTTGGAAATTTGGATGTGTTCTTAATTTAAAAAATCAGGAGAAAAGTTTATCACTCAAACCCACACGAGGAGACCTCACCTTTTCCTGGTATTATCTTAGAATACTTTTCATCTTTACTCTTTGCTGTTCCTTTGTGGGCAGAAATGGCTTCATTTTTCTTTGTTTTTATGTCTCCTTTCATTTTGTAGCACATTGCTGGATTTTCCTGTTCTTTGGTTTTTCCATGTAACTTCTCTTTAGAATCAGCTGATGGTGCTGGATGTGTGCCTTCTTTCATAACAGGTTTCTGTATGCTATGTCTGTTGCTTGCCAAAATATCTTTTGGAGAACACTCCTTTCCTGACCACTCACTCCCTTTAGATCCTTTACTTTTAATATGTTTTTCAGCCTTCTTTAAATGATCTTCTTTCATTTCTTGGTATCTTACCTCTTTTAAGTCACTCTTACCCTTATTGGGCATTCCCAATCCAATTTTTTTACATCTGTCAGTATGTTCAAGTTCTTGACAAGCCGATCCAGCCCTTGCATTCTGTTTGATAACTGATATCCCACCATCACTCAGGGGACCTTTCAACAAAGAATCACCACCAGCACTATTGCTTTCTTGATATTTTGATAGAGTCTGTTGCCTGTCATTAATATGTTTGACTCCTCTTTCTTCATTCATTCTGTGATCTTGCTTTTGTGAAACTGAAGTATTGTAGCAACTGATTCGATTCGCTCTGTGCTCTAAACTGGACTCTGTTTTCTGACAGTTAGTGTCTTTGGGGAGTTCTGGTGACCTGCTACTTGCTTGTTGAGGGGTCTCTGCTACTTCTGCTTCTGCTGCTGCAGAGCTTTCTTCTTCTGGGCGAAAGCCATTGATCATACTTGTTACCTGTTCAGCAACCGAGTCAGTTAAAGCGTAGCTGACTTCCCCAACAGCAGTGGCTAAATCTTCTACAGCATTACTGATTGTGTCCACCAGAGAAGACACTGAAGGCAGATTCTGCTGGAAAGTTTTGAAAAATGCCATTTTCTAATTCCTTATTCCTAACAGATGCAATAATGGAATTTTCTCTTCTCAAAATATCAACCGCTTAGGAATTTGAATTTAAAATGTACTTAAATGTTGTTACTCATGAGCTTGATATTATTATTTTGCATTGTGGTTTTTAATCTTTCTGTAAATGCATTATGCATTGAAAGAAATACGTCGAGGCAAAAACTCTTCCAAAAAAAAAAAAAAAAATCAAACCACTTGGCTTACATGTAATGACATTTTTTCCCTCTCCATAGCTATCATACCAGCCGCAAAACAATATTTTCCCCTCAAATACTATTGGTTTTTTATTCTATACCTGCAAGAAGAAGTATAAAAAGGATTTTTATTATGGACTTTTGGTTTATTTATTAATAGTCTATGTAGGGGAACTACCCTATATTACTAACAAACTACCAATATCATTTCAAATTAAGACAACTATTAAAGGGAAAATGAGCAATCTGTGCAGAGGTCAGGATAGAAAAAAGAGCAGGGGGTCACCTGCCGAGTGGCTACTGGATGCAAAGCATTGTGATTTACAAGTTGTATCATACCTGTTCTCACAGTAACTCTTGGAGGTAAATATTATTCTTCTTATTTCATAAGTGAAAAAAAAAAAAAGGCTCAGAAAAAGTACGAAGGTTCCCAAAACCTTTCCAAAGGATCTTCAAGGTCAAAACTATTTTTATAGTAACAGTGAGGGGATGTTTAACTTTTTTACTTTCATTTGCTCATAAATGAACACTGGAGTTTTCCAGAGGCTATATGGCAGATTGAATGCAGAAGCAGACATGAGAATAACAGCTGGTTCTTCTTTGTGAGTCATTAAAGGGATTTGTAGAAAATATAAAACAACGGCACTCTTCTCACCATTTTTGGTGGCGGGGGAGTAAAAAAATATATAGTTTTTTAAGTTAAAAAATGTTACTTATTTTTAACATGTATGTAATAGGCTTATTGGGGTTTCTGTGGATTTTTCTGTTCCAAGTTCTTATTTACATTCTAGCTAGTTAACATATAGGGTACTACTGGTTTCAGGAGTTGAATTTTAGTGATCCATCACTTACATGTAACACCCAGTGCTCATCACAACAAGTTATTGGGGTTTTTTTAAGACCAATAAATTGTTAAGAATATTTTTAAATGTTCTCAGTTTTAACTTCTAATATGGTACTTTAACAATAGATATAAGTCACATAAACAAAGGTTCTTTGGAGTGTTCAATAATTTTTAAGGGTGTAAAGGGGTTATTAGACCAGAGAAAAACCAGAAAAGCTGAACAAGGGGATTCCTGGAGGCTGCCCAAAGAGATACCTGTAACCAGTTCAACTCTACACAAATGATCAAGAAGCTAAAGTATGAGAAATGCTAAAACTTCAAACAAAAACACAAAAGTACTACTCTTTCCTGATGCAGAAGTTACAGATGTAATTCAATAACCCATAGATTTTTATAAATGATAATGTTATCACTTTTTAAGTTACCAGAAATAAGACAAAAAATCTCTTCAACATAAACAAGAAGAGCAAGGTTTTTCTGCTAATGCTCTGAAATACTGTTCTAAATTAACACCTCGCCTTTATAATTCTCAGCTTGCTTCTGCTATCATTTATATATATAATATATAATATATTTTTACAAATATATAAGTCAATCTTTGGAAAGAGCTAATAAAGAACTTCTATCATAATATAAAAAAATTAACTCCACGGAATAATTTTCATGGAAGAAAGAACAGGATTACAGCCCTCGTGTCTTCTAGTCTCTTGTAGTTTTAAGTGACAAAAAGTGATATAATGCCTATGGTACCAACAGAGGGAAAGGAACACTAATTTTTACAACCAGACTTTATCTGTACACTTTCTCTACTTTCTCCAAACCACTTTCTCCAAACAATAAAATTATCCATCATTCGATAGGAGGTAAAGAAAAAGGGTGAATACTTTTCAAAGCCTTCTATGGGAATATGGGGGCAAGCTCTCCAGAGAGTTACTTGGACAGTAAGATTTAAGCTGTATAGAGCAGAAAGGTACTTCCTTCTTAAAGCATATCTACTCATACTACAGGCTCAAAAGCATACCTTATGTATGAAAAATAAAAATGTGGTTTTCTGATAGCATGCAGTTCATCTTTATGTGATATATTAGCAATTCGTGAATAACAAAGATAATTGAACATAATTTACTCAATAGATTTTTTTTTTTTACTCTCACAGAAAAGTGGCTCGAATGTTACTTTATAGTATGTCAAAACCAACCTTACAATATATGTTTAAAAAAATAACAGAATGGTATAGATAAAAAGAACAAATAAGAAAAGCAGTGATGATACTTACAAATTTTATCTTGTGAGTTCTTCCTTGTACTGTATCCTGAACCAAGATCTGGAAACCCGCCAACATTTTCAAAACAGAACTTCTTATTAATATAGAGAAAAAGGAGCAGCATCAAGATAATAAACACCCCAACAGCTGACAAAAATCCAACTGCCTCTGGAGATACTAGAGAAAAAAAAGTCACAGCTGTAAGCATTTATTCTTCTTTAAGCTACAGATAAGAAGAAGGAAACCCCCAAACATATGTTAGATTACTGCCTGAGTTGAGTTATACTTTTTAATTGTCATAGTTTACATAGGTTTATAAGAAAAACAAATGGCACAGTTTAATGAGCTGTTCAATTCACTCAGAAGTACTTACTCAAACCTAAAATTTTCTGTATAATTTCTGTTGGAGCAATCTTATAATACAGGAGTTTATAAAGTAGACAATTACAAACCTAGCCCACTTAAGAGTATTAAAAAATTTTAGTACAAGAATTAGAAAAAATTATTTCCCACACACAGGTATCTTATTTAACCAAATTTTAAGAACATATATTATTATTCTTATCTCTAAAAGCTTCAATGGCCCATTTTATTTAATAAACTCTGGACTTCTTAACTTGGCATCCAAAGCTCCAGCCTCTCTTTCTAGTATTATACTCTAATCAAATGGTTCCACTCATTGCCTCCGAATCAGCGATATGCATTACCATACACCTCGTCTTTGTTGTTTATTTTCTTCCTGTCGCCTGGAATGACCGAGTCTGCTCTCTACCATATCCCATTCATTCATTCAATCAACAAATATTTTGGACCAGCAGCCACACACCAGGCATTATCACATACACAGGTCCTGCCTTCGATAAACAGGCTGGTGAAACACTAGAACGCAGTGTGGTACAGGCTGTGAGTAGGGAAGAACAGGACTATGAGCCACAGAAACACTTAAGCCAGTGTTGAAGGATCCAGTAGGCTTTTCTGAAAAATTATGGCCTCCATGATTATAATCTAAGAATTATCAAGAATTAACACTATCCCAGGCAGAAGGAACGGCAAGTGCAAAAAGGTCCAAAGACAGGAAATCACTGTATATTCCAGAAACTCAATAGAACTTTGTTACAATAAACCAGATTTTCAAGAGAATCTGATCTCAAGAGACTCTGATCTCAAGATAATACATGAAATCATCCATGGAGACTGCAAAGTGAGAACATCAACAAAAAAATCTACAACTTCTCTAATTCTCAGCAATCTGTCTTTCAACGTTTGCTTTGTCACTATATCAATCATTTGGAGTTAAATAGGAACTAAATTTTTTATGCCTAATGCCTTATATTTAATACTCAGGTATTAGGTGAGAACGAATCCTAAGCCTCAAATATCCTCTACAACCTACAATCTACTCTTTCTTCTCCCACTGCTCAAGTAGCAGCTAAAATGTCATCTCCTCCAAGATTCTTCCTTGAATAGAAGAGCCATAGCAATTAGCATCTACAACTCATTTGTTTAAAATGAACTCACCAACCAGCCCAATGATAACTGGTTTTATCTACTAGCTTTTCATTATTTGTGAAAGCCAGCCACCCCAGGTGTAGACCTTCTAGGACATTATATAGTCTATTCAAGGCTGGATCAACAATATTGTGATACAGGACAGAGCAGAGTGACATTGTAAAGGGAAAAGAGGAGAGACTGAATGGTAGAAATCCAGTCTAAATATCAGGTTGATGAACAGATCACGCTACTAGAAACAAGATGTTATGCCCAGACTTTACCGCTGTCTCATTTTTCAGGCTGGAGAACTGTCAGAAAAGAGAACAGTATTTTAACTTAAAAATCCAAGCCATATTACCAAAAACAGTGCTATGGATCAAGCCTGAAGGATGAAGCAAAAATGAAAACAGAAGAATTATCTTCAGCAATTCTCATAGCTAGAGAAGTCAGAAGCAGGACAGGACCTGGTATAAAAAGGCAAAATGCTCAATCAACTTATATTCAATGTTACACTGTAAACACATATGTATAGGAGCTCCCCCTTTAGCCCTCATCCAAAATACACCTGAAAATCTGATGCATTTAAGTGAACACACAGGGATAGATAATATGCAACCTGAAAATCTCCTGTCTCTTAGAAGACTAAATGAGAGAAAACATAGCTCACCTCACTTAAGAAAGCTAACTATTGCTAATAAAAATAGCAACAAATACATATACTGTATGTTACATACAGTGACTGTTTTAAGTAGTTCACGTATATTAACTTCTTAAATATTCACAATTAGACTATTATCCTCATTATAAATTGTGATATGGAGATATTAAATTATGTGCCCAGCTTATAAGTGGAAGAGTCAGGATTCAAAACCTTGTCTGGCTACAGGGTCTGTGCTTTTAAACACTACTCCTACGGCTTCTCCTGTCTTCCTTCTCTCCTCTTCTTGCCTCTTCCTATCTCATGTCTCAGGCCTTATTTCTTTCTCTTTTCATCTCCCTCCTTCCCACTTGAAAATTTAACTGGGGGTATGGTGGGGAGTCAACTATAAACAAGGATAATACAGTAAGTGCTATGATAGAGGCAGGAATAGGAAGTATTACTGGAACACAAAGAAACACTACCTGACGAAGTTCCAAATGCTGCAGAAAGGAGGTAACACTTGAGTAGAGCATGAAAGATGAGTAAGACTCTATCAAACAGTGAAAGGACCGATGAAAGAGACGGTAAAAGACATAAAAGCAGTGTGCATGGCATTCTATAAGTGCTAATGGGTCTTATTGGCCTCCATGTTCTCAAAGCACCTAGCACAATGCCGCATAGTTGACGTTATATAAATATCTGTAAATGAATAAACGAATAAATGCGTGTTCAGGGTAGATCTGGAATATACCAGAGGACCTGAGGCTGGAGATAAAAGCAAGATCCAAAACGTCAAAGAAACCTGAATACCGTCCTAAAGATTTTGTGTTTGCAGAGCTACATTGCTTAAAACATTTAGGAAACTAGAATATAGTAGGGAGTGATTAGTGGCAATGCAAGAGGAGGTTTTTTTTTTTAATTTAAATTCAAGTAATTAACATATAATGTATTATGTGTTTCAGAGGTAGAGTTCAGTGATTCATCAGCTGTATATAATACCCAGTGCTCATTGTATCACCCAGTTATCCCATCCCTTCATCCCTCACTCCTCCAGGAACCCTCAGTCTGTTTGTTGATTCAGAGTAGGAGGAGTTCTGGGGCACCTGGGTGGCTCAGGGGGTTAAAGCCTCTGCTTTCAGCTCAGGTCATGATTTCAGGGTCCCGCGATGGAGCCCCACATCGGGCTCTCTGTTCAGCAGGGAGCCTGCTTCCTCCTTCTCCTTCTGTCCCTCCCCACTGTTCATGCTCTCTCTTGCTTGCTTTCTCTCTCAAATAAAAACCTTTAAAAAAAGAAGTTATGCCTAAAATCTTATTTACATTATGAATCTGCTTACAAAGCCAGTCTGCACAGGTATTCCTAGGATTATGATTAAATTATCTGTACATAAACCTTCTCTTCCCCCCAATTCTAGATTAGCCACTGCAAGCAAGTAAACGCTAGTGCAAACTGCATATTACCTTTTAAGGAGGAGCTTCAAAATCTATTTAACAGCAAACAGATAATTAGTTTAGGTTAATATCACACATCTGAAGAATTTAATTTGCCAAATCAAATTTGAGTTAACAATAACTTGGAATACACTAATGCATTATTTTCCCATAATCCAAATTTGTAAAATTCACATGTGATAAACAATAAAACCAAGACCAAATAATAACAATATTAGCAACACGAAATATTGAAGAGTGCTTATTATTTGCTAAGGGCTTTTTTAAAAACATTTAAATTCCAGTTAGTTAACATACACTGTAATATTAGTTTCAGGTGTACAATACAGTGATTCAGCATCTCCATACAACACCCGGTGCTCATCACAGCAAACGTTCTACTTAATGTCCATCACTGACTTCACCCACCCCCCACCCACCTCCCTGGTAAGCATCAGTCTGTTCTCCATAGTTAAGAGTCTGTTTCTTGGTTTCACCTCTCTCTCTCATTCTCTTTTTTTCTCTTTGCTTGTTTTAAGCATTACACTAAGGAGTTACAAGCATTATCCAGCTGATTCTTCACTATAACCCAATTTTACAGATAATGGGAATTGAAGCTCAGAAAGAGTTAAGCAGAATTTTCAAGACCTTAATATTATTATTCAGTGATAGAGTCTTGATTTGAAGGCAGGCACAATGACTCTTGAGCCAAAATGTCAAACACTAATCCCTATTGCTTCCTATTTGCCAGGCATTGCTGTAATCCCTCTTATTTTAAAACTTAATGGTCAAAACAACTTTATAATAGGTAAGTACTACACATCACCTTAATCTTTAGTAAACTGAGGCCCAGAGACTAATTAACTTGTTTAAGGTCACAAATATAGGAAACAGTAGAACCTGGATTTGAACCCAGATATTCTGACTCCAGAGCCCATGTTCTTATACATCAAGCAATACTGCTTCCTTGTATGCCAACCTGCAATATAAAATAAAAGGGAACGCTACGTGGTCAAGGTTCTACAGCTCACTATAAACATTAAGAGAAAACATTGTATGATTTGGATTTTATATTATGAAGTATGTAAAGATTATACTGCAAAGTAAAAAGACATACTGTCTCACCAGGAAATACAAAAAGTTTAGCTTGTCCAAGATTAATGATTACTTACCTATGTTACATATAGTTAACTGGCTTTATAGTTATCTTTACTATACATTTAGAAATGAACATATATATTTACAAAAGATGAAAAAAACACTTTTGTCAAAATTCAAGTTTCAATAATAGTAATACAATTCATTTTAATTTCTACAGATAAATTGTTCATAGGAAGAAAATGATGAAATAATACTCTTAAAAAATAAAAGCAGGAGCAAATCCATTTTGACTCTGAATGTATTACAGAATTCTACTTTCCATTTTGTCACAAAGAAAACATTTTCTATATAAGTTTTATGAGAAAAATACTAGGATATAAATAAACATAAATACAAGGGGAGATATTTATTTATTGAGCTTTTGTATTTTTAATATTAAGTTATTTGTGCCCTTCTCTAAAGTTTTATATCAAAACAAATTAATTACAAATGTTAGATTTATATTTGTAAATTAAAT